CTGAACAAAAACCCACATGTATCACTATTCATTCTTTCTTATTTTATTCTGGTATGTCTGAGCTTCGGGTGTCTTATTACAACTTGCAGCAGTGTCTCTGCAGGATTATGGGTAATAGAAGGAAAAGTCTGTTTAACTCTTCAGTCATACTAAATAGCAATGGTGAGAGAGTGCAGGGACTTCTGTCCTGAAACCAGGATGATGATAGCTGTGGCCATGGCCACTACAAGGGTGCCCCATAGGTCATTCATGGCCAAAGAAGACACACAGAAGAACTTAGGGGAACCATTTCTGAGAACAGGAAATGGTAGAGGAGGTCTTTAAGTAGGGGCTAATTTCTGTCAATCTAGATGGCAAAGCTGGAGCCTTGAAAATGGCTATTTACAGTAAAATAGAAATGTATTCCATACTATTATTTAGTAAGGTCTGTGAATTTTCCATGACACAGAATTCCTGCAAAAGACATGTCCAAACTTTCCCTGGAAGACCTCCTTTCACATACATATCTGATATCAGGAGTGAGAAATAGGGTTTTGAAAACAATCTGAATGTAACACAACAATAAAGCTAATGGAGGTTTAAATTTAATGAAACAAAACTGAAAATCTAAAGGTCAAACCAAATGGTGTTTTGTTGTTGTTATTTTTAACATTTAAAATATTTGAAAGACCTCTTTTCCTAAAACTCAATATGTGGAATCTATTCCCAGGATTAGACCAATAGGAAGATCTTCTTGGCTTCAGGGTTCTAGAGAAGAATGCATATAAATAGAAAATGTTTAAATTCTATCCCTTTACACCTAGAATCTTTTATAATTATGACTATAATTCTGACCTAACTTCCAGATAGCCAAACAAGAATCAAGCCTTTCCCACATTTTTGAGAATAATCAGAGTGAGTTTGCTCACAAGTACTTGCTGGGGCTTGGGACAGGTAAAAGGGGTGAGGAATCTTTATTTATCTAACAATAATGGAGAAAGTATTTTGGGGAATGGAGGAATGGACGTAGAATTTTTATGAATTTAATTGGAACAACTAGAAATAGGAAAGTCCTTTTCTTCTGGTTCACCTAAAATTGTTCTTGTAGTTGGGGTTTCAGAGCATTAGAGCTGAAAAGATAAGAGATTTCTGTTATACGTTTGTTGCCAGTGCTGGCAGAAGAGAAGGAAAGGTGATTCTAGACATGGGGGCACCTGAATCAAAGGAAGATTCAAAGGTAGGAGAAACATGGAAAGCAAAAAAAATGTATGGTCCTTTCCTTACTAAAAGGAAATGGAAATTCAGGAAGGGGAAAAGATGCAGGAAGTAGAGATGATGAAAAATTGACAAAATAACTAGTAGGGCCTTCAGGGAACTTGGAGATCCTGTGCTGAGCTCAGAACTACTTGCTGCTTTTGATAATTTCATTGCATCTTTTAACAGCAAGGAGCAAAATTCTACACTTCAGATTTTTTCCCCATAGCCTGAGAAATTAACAGAATTTATTACATGGGAAAAAGAGCTCAACGGGGTGTGTGTGGGGGTGGGTACTGGAAAAGCTGTAGAGATAAAAGAGTAAATTTTAGCAAAAGAAGGTTTAAACAAACAAAATATAGAGAGAAAATGGAATTATGGGTGATGCATTTGAATCAAAGTAATGATTATGCACACAGCATTCTTAGTGGCCTAAGGGAAAAAAATATATAATATGAACCAAAGGTGGAATGCTTTTCTACTTTCCTATCTCTCCTTTTAAGTCACAGAAAAGCTCCTTGGTGCTGTCAAACACTTTCCCAGATCAGCCCAGGAAGAAACAAATAATATGCTTCTGGTGAGCCTTTGAAAACATTGCTTCCCTCACTGTTGCTAATGACTTTGGGTTGCAGTTGATTTTTCACTTATTTTTATTTCTTACAACATTGAGAGATCGCTACGTGTTTCCATCTGTGGATCCCTCCAAAATAATAGGGTAACTATTTTACAGCAGCCTTGATTCATATTTATTCTATTTTCAATCATCATTTATTTGGTTATGTGACTAAATT